TGTGAAGAAGGTTGAAAGAGCTCTCAATATTGAATTGCTTGGACACAACAAGTTACCTAATAACTATGAAATTAGCACAGTAATCCTAGCTGCCATATCGTTTCCGCTGTTCGTCTTTTGATCCTACATATACGTCATCCCATATTTCTGATGGCTCAGATTCTGAATGTCGCAACCAATAATTTCCGTTCTTCGTATGCACTCCATATCTTAACTAAAGAGGTGGGCATATATGTACCCCCTTTTGCAAGTCAGATATTTAGACTGGGATACAGATTGGGGCAACAAAAAGCAATAAATCGGGGGCCAGAATGGAATGCCCTGTGTTCTTTTAGGAATCTTTCGACTTTTCTGGGGAATGGGCCGTGAAAAACCATTAAAATTTTTCCGCACCCGACATTAATTTTGAAATGGCTGAAATTAACATTATTTTTAAGGCGTATTGCTCGACCACATGACACCCATAAAAAGCCCCTTCTCATGCAGGAATCTTGGTCGACCTGAGGGGAATGGACTTTATCTCGAGGTGGACTATTAGGATGGGGACTTCAACGGTGTCGTCCACCCAAAGAGATCACTTCTGAGACAGCTATATTTATAATCCGAGGTATTCTATTAGCTTATTGTGGGTATTCCATGTATTTTCCGGGTTAAATTAACTTGGACGAGGAATGATTAGCTAAGTGTGTTGAAGTGTGAATAGTTCACAATTACTTGAGAATTATGGGATATCCAGAGGATATTGCCCTTGGTTTTACTATTTATGTACCGCCTTTGCCCACTGTACGCACTGTTTACCTAAGTTGATCCTTGAATAACCCTTTTCTCGTGCGTGACATCCTCTGTCGCGGAAAATCAAGACCCAGTTATGTCGATCTCTCATTTAAGAGATCGAGAAAACAAAAGCAAAATGGAGCCTTGTTTTTTGTATTAATCACTATCAGTCTATGTTTTAAATGACAGTGTTCGGAAGAGATGGCAGAATACAGTCCGAAGTCACATGGGTATTACAGATATAAGACCTTACTTTTCACAGACACCTATGTCATTGTTAGTCGTCTGCATTGTGTTTAGCTGCTCACAGATCAAACAATAGACATTGTGTCCCGAACCTAAAAAACATGTCTTTTGTACCTGAGATATACTTTTATTTTCAAAATTTCCTGAAGATTCCCTTCGTGTAGACATCATGTGGATATTTTAACAAGAAATGGATATGTATCTTCTAAGTCTTGTCTAGCTATTTACCCAACATCCGGTGACAGTCAATTTAGCTACTCACCTGTTTCGTTTTTCAATATTGAAGGTTTGTGAATGCCAGGGATTTCCGGCTTGAAATCGTTTTAAATTCCAGTGGAGAAACTGAGTGAAATCAACTCCATATATAAATAGGGTACGCAATTTCACATCAGGTCAAGCGAGTAACTGTTATTTTTTGCTTTGCATATTGTATGTTTAGAATTCAAACCCCGGTATGGCCCAAATTATGCATTGCGTTTGATTTCCAGTACGTGGGATACTCGAATTCACTGCCACCCCCTTTTGAGTTAGATCAACCGGAATAGTTGTGTCAAGGCAGAGAGAGGTCAACATTGGCTTCAGTAGAGTAAAATGCATATACGGCAACAACAGAACGAGCTGTCACGTTGTACATATCGTAGAAAAAATGTGGGTGATACTTGATTGTATAGTAAACCGATCGACTAGATGACCTCAGACCATACCCGTTTTTGGTTCGGTAGGCCACAGATGCAGCCAAGCAAGTTCAGCGTCAATTGAGAAGAGCACATCACGCAAAGGTCAAACACGTATTTTCACCTCCCCTTGTATGCGCTTATATCCACGCAGTATGTTGTGTTGATGGCAGTCTGGATCAGCATATGGGAGATGGATTTATCTCGGATTTATTTATCGCTAATCCTCTGTGAGCTGCTTTAACTGACAAACCAGGCTGCTGGTGATCCGTACATATCCCGCCCTATTATAATCAGGTGACTGATAAAGTGCGACAAAATACAAGTTATGTGTACAAACCTGCATATGCTGAACGATCAAGTGGTTTCCAAGTCTGACCTTGAGAATAAACTTGTCTTATTTCAGTGAAATTTGAAATTTCAGTGAAAGTTGACGTTTCATGTCTAGATAAGCTGAGAGAGGTTCTGCTCAAGTGCAGAGAATTCCGGCGAAATACTCGTCTGTGCTATTGTTGTTTGTCTAGGCGGATATGAGGAATTCCCCTAGATTGACTGAGAGCTTATTTCAACTTTTACCTCCCGGCATGAAGTTGTGTACTAAATAAAAAGCTTATAAAGATTAACCTGTATGTTGCTTCCAATCGATTACTGCAGTTGTCCTCCCCGTGTATATGTATGTGGATACAAAAACGTTATCCTTAGGACCTTTCTGGCCCGCATATGATGAAAATTCAATTATGTGTACTCCGAACCCCATGTTCTGTCAACTAAAAGCATGGTGGTTTTCATTGATCTTTGAGTAGTGTCTTTCCAAAAAGTAAGTAGCACAGTTGGTCCTTCCATTTTTGGACTCTAAGCATGCTTCTCTTAATGGACAGCTTTTCAATACGGATAACTTTATTCACTAAAAGAACATTTATGTTTGTATTATGCCTTCTTCTTTCCTATTCTTGTCCAGCAATTTATTGTGCTGCAACGAATTTAACAAGCAGATTGTCGCTATCAGTATGCCACATGGTTATATTGAGCCTTTCTGAGGGCCTCCAAATGGCACTTTGTCCCATGCTCTGACAAACTGGACAATTCTTTCGATGCTTTATGTTTTCTACGAGCCTCACATGAAGCATAGCGGCGCGTTGTAGGTGCGCGAATGTCCGAGTAGCGTATTTTCAGTGTGCAAACTTTCACTGCGAACTGAGCGAATTGCAAAAAGTTTAAATTGGTTTGAAAATCTCCCGATAGTGAAGCCTCACATTCCAGTGATCAGAGTGCTTCGGCTGGGAAAACGTACCGCTGCTACACGCGATTGTTTTCTTTCTGCTCATCTAACGGCGCCACACAGATGTAGTCATGGAATAAGAAGAAACCAACTCAAGGTTGACGGGAACTCGGGGATTGCGCCTACCTGATGAGCCCCAAGAAGTGCGAAACCGGTCGTGTGCTGTCGAAGAGTTTTCAGCAACCTTGTGAGTAGTTATCCTTATGAAAACTCAACCAGCACTTCGGAAAATAGTCCAGGCACACGAGAAAACGGTAAATAATGAGTAATCATGTAAAGCCTCGCAACTGGACTCCGATTTTTACTATGCTTCATTTTTATATTGATCCAGTGTTTAATTTCCAAAGCTAACTCAGCTGACGCTTACCAACAAACCTCATTAGATGAGGAATCAAACCGTCAGCGACTACTAAGTCAACAGTCCAACCACGTTTTCGGTATACACGTATTGCCACGGGTAACTCAGACGGTAACTGATTAATTAACGGCTAGATTCGATTGTGTAAAAGCCTGGCAGAAGGAAAATCATTGTGTGCACTAAGACAGCTGTAGAATATAACCGGCGGCTAGTCACCCTCCTAAGGTGGTTTATTCATCATCATAGTCATCGTCTACGTAACATCGGTATTCAACGCTGGTGCTCCGCTGTCGTACAACTGTAATTCATTCCAGAGACTTATTGTGAAGAAGAGAGTAACGGTGGATGAGGAAAACACTTAAACTTGGTCCAACAATTAGTTTGAAGTGTCCACACCCAGACACTCATGCAATCTGGATAGAAACTGAAAAAAAGAATGCCACTGACATCGATTAGCAGCCATATTTTACAGCTTCGTCAACCATGCACAGGGAAACCGTGCGGATTTCATCATGGTAGGTGAGACACACCGACAATACTCGCTTCGGTGTAGATTCACATGAATAATTGCGCCAGGACAGAAGGACGACTATTCAAAACAAGAGTGATGTGAAACTAAACAATACACCTCCCACAAAACCCCCAAATACTCGCTTTCATACCTCTCTGGTTAAACGTTTGTCGCCTCTCTATTTGCGGCACTCTGAAATTGGACGTCTCACTTCCACCGCTCACGTGCTACGTCTCAAATCCATACCACAAAGCACATCGTGCCACCATAAGCGCCTCAAATGAGCGGGAGCGAACAGGACCTTAGAGATCCGTGTGTCGACCTCATTTGCCACATTACAGTAACAAATTATAGAATTTACAAAATGATCCGAACCCCCGATTATCTCTCCTTTGATTTTAAGTGGCGTACAAACTGACTGCATGTCCAGGCGCATGAACTTACACATGCCAATGGATGGGATGACGTTGGTCAGCTGATCCAAAAACACCTTCACCATGTGCTCCTCGAAGACGAGAACGATATCGTGCGCATATACCCGTTATACATGGTTTTCGTCAGCGGCTCTTTGAACACCATTGTTTCGAAGACCTTCAACCTTTCGTCTCTCTAGTTCGCAATCACATAACTGAATAGAAATGGATACAGTAGGCATGCTTATCAGACACTGATTCTTGTACAGAAACTATTAGAGAACTCGCGGCATATTCTCACATGCCAACAAATTTCAGAATTCAAAGGGCATATTATAGCAATAAACTTCCGAGGTGATTTCAACTTGGCAAGCAAGTTAGGGATAGAAGACCAGGCAACTCAGTCAAATGCGTTAGGGGATTGAGGAGATATTCTGGGTCACTTATACGTATGACGTTGTTCTAGCTCCTGGTGGAGTTGGGAGGTTTGGTCAATGCGACCACTTCCGGGCTGAAACCCCTTTTACTATTCTCAAATCAATGCATGACAGGTCACCGTAAGGTGACGAAGGACAAGTAACGCAATTCTCGTTACGACTGGAGTCAAGCTGTGATTACCGATTCCACTACAGGACTCATTTTTGAAAACGTGCACCATTGAAGATGAGCTCCAGTCGTCATGTATTACATCGGGCTGAAGTGTGTCCGGAACCGGCGGGAGCGTTTCTCCGAGATCCATGCCGTGTCACTGTTCTGTCTGAGGAGACCAGGTAGGATTACACCACAGGCGGAACTCCCAGCACCGTTCAGGGATGTGGTGAACTCGTTCCGACGGTAGAGCACTTGGAAGAGAGACCAGAAGATGGTTCTGATAAATTTGTCGAACTTCAGGATTTGTTAGCCTTTCAGTTGCTAAGGGAGTTGCCTGTCTCTACGCGACCTAGAAAGTGAAAAGAAGCGACTCCGGATGAGCACATAGTCGTAGCCCATACGTGTGTTTTAAAATGGGTGTCGGTCAGTTTATGGTCCGCATCATCGGTAACTGATGCCGATGCAATCAATTTGGTCGGCGGTCGGCATGCTCTCTGCAAACAATTTGGCCAGACGAATTCGGTTACTTCGTAAGTGGATATTGCGTAAATCCAAATGCTCTTGAATCCAGACAGAATTACCATCTGAGCCTCAAATGCCAAAAGTCTTCCCAATTTTGCGTTTAAATCTCCCAAAACCACAACATCATCCGAGCATTTAGCCCTCCGTGAAGAGGTAACCAAGACGTCATAAATGTTGGTGGTAGGCGCAGGGGGGTAAGCAAACATCACAAACGGACGACCATCAACTTCCCGCTTGTAAGACTTTCAAGGACATTGTCAGCTTCTGTCAGAGAGGCTTATGGATGGCAAGGGTTGCTCAGCTGGAAGTGAGTGGAAAGTGATGAGGCAGTTAAGTCTGACTATAGGATCTAGTGGACGTAAGTGACACACACCGGACGCCTCCTTATTGTTTGGAAATACCACTCATACTTAGACTGACTTGTCTCCTATTTTGTCCGATCGCAATAAACAAGTGATCTGTATATCGAACTTCTCGCTATAATATGTGCGTCACTTCTACTCAGTTCATCAGGATACAGTTATTCACAACTGAGAAAGAGTCATTGATGGTATTTTTGGCATTCAACTGATTGCGCAATTGACGTTGCAAAAAATGCACAGTTTTTACGACCACCAGGTCCTATAAAACCCTCATGACTCCAAGGGACCAAATGTTGAAACAGCGGCTGCCATATTCCGCGTACGCTTACGAAACAACTCATCGGATTTGCTGTCACGCTGATTCGTTTCCAGTCGATTCACTCAACCGGTCCTTATTACATAACTGCTTTCCTTTCCCGCATCCGGAGCTTGTACGTCAGACACGTAACAACCTCGTACTGTTTTGATTGCATTCAACAAACGGTTTTCTCGTAACGCTAATCGAAGTTTTCCGGAGTTTGAGAGACTTCAAGCTGACAGGATGAAAGTGCCAACGATGACCTGGTGCTTCCTTCCTAATCTACTCCAATCGGTGCTGAATGTGTGATTTAGGTGGGACAGCGCTGTCTCGAATTTTCACTAAGAGATCCTGATGCTTCTTCAGTAATAAGGCACGAAGTGATATATACTGTACGCACCACAAAAGGTACGTGTCTATCAGACTCGCTTGACGAAATAAAGCAGCGTAGGCTGGCAAAAGCTCCAGAATGGTTTTTTAAATGTGAACTTGCGACACCATTCACTGGACACCCACGCATTGCGAAAGTGCATTAGTGCAACCAGTTGGTTATCGTGGTATATTTCGGTTGGCTTACCGAGGGTAAAGTGACATGCTGACTGATCGTGGGACACGTAACTGTGCAGTAAAAGCGGTTTCTTTGTTGGTGGTCAATCGTTACTGTAGCTTCTCGCAAGCTGCAGCAGTCGTTCGTCCAGTTCCCTAGGATGACGCCAACAGCTGGAGATCCTCAACCTGTTATTATCCTCCTGCGAACAAAACATGAGTTAATGAGACGTAAATAAACATGACTGAACTATCGGAAGCATCCCTTATCCGGTTCAGAAATATCCCGAGGACTTAGAAGAACCTTATTGATGGACTCATGGGAAAAAGCGTGACTCTGGCTGCGAGTTACCTTTTGTTAAAAGGTCACGTTAAAGGTGATTTAACATACCCTCAAGAAGAGACACAGTAACAGAAAAATTGGGGATGTGGGACTTCCGTACTTCCGTGCGGAATTGCACGAAGTGATGTCATTCCATACTAAAGTTCATGTTATGGCTTATTCTCAAATGCTATCGACACAGCTAAACTTTGATTGGCTGATCATGTAACCATTTACTAAGTAGTGACAGCCTCGGTGATCGCATATTCAGAAGATGATCACCAGACTCCTCGACAGTTTCACCAAAATAACCCAAACACAGAAGTCTACACACGACGAATTTGTTCCCACCTTTGCACGCTCGAATCATACGCATAACCTCATATAAAGGAAAGCAATCTCCCACTTGACGAGATCCAAAACAGCGAAACTATGGCAAGCCACCGAAAAGCTGTCGTTAGTGTTACACATGGTGTCATATCACGGAAAATAAGTAGACGTCCCAAATTAAACCACGGTCTCAGGTAAACGCCTTATGTTGAAGAATATCATAAACAAGAGCTTTACTTAGATCTCCCACTGATATCCTCTCTATATGCAAACTAAAGTTTAACTTCGCAGGTATCATTTGTAGCGTTGATTGAGCCAACTAGTGAAAACTGGTCGACAGGGAAGAAGGCACATCCTCACGCAAGAGATGGCTGAATCAATGTAAAGTAAACAAAGTTTTACGAAAGGGAATCCACCATGCGACTTAGTTTTAATTAAACATAGTGCCGAGGTTAAACACATCATGCTATACTGATGCCATGCCCATACAGTTCAGTTTGACACCGTTGAGTGCGTCCCGTTTAAATAAATTTGATTTAGCCAGGACAAAAAAAGGGAAAAACAAAACAGGGAAGTTAGTTCGTGTGTTAATTTGTAACATTTATGCAAATCCCGTATAGTTGTCTGTGGGTTTTGCACAGTATAACCCATCAACCATTATAGAATCTTTCTCTTGAGATTGCCATCTGTCACCCAAATCGGTAGGTGAACAGCATCAGTAGGTTTTTTTGTAACGATGGCTAGAGCATAGATAGGGGCATCCTCGATTCGAATTCTGACTGTTCTAAACCCCTCTTGCATGTTTTGGTTTGGCTCGAGTCTTTACACTTAATTGCAAACTGTAGAAGGCATCCATTAAGTGTAGACAAAGAGATTGGAGGGTGACCAATATATAAGAGAACCATTAAAAATGAAGGCACCACGGACGCCTGCGTAAACATAGACGTGCAAGTTATTGACGGTAGATATTATTCATGCCTCAACGGCCAAAAACAACTCAAGCTAAATCTTGAGTAAGAAGCCGCGTGAGTCCTTTGCACCGTTACAGTCACTACAAATCCAGAATCGCATCTGATTACAATCTAGTGATCACATGATATTTTTAACAAGCACATGATGATCAGTGTCACTCACTGAGTACCGTGAACTGTTGTCCATATTTTAGTGCGTAATCGTTTGAAATGGCTCTTTCTGTATAACTACACACGGGGAATCCGATTGATTACTTCGCTTATAAGAATAAATTCAGTGATTCATTGTCAAAGTCTGAAATCGTCGACATTCAGGTTTCTCTTGTCTCTTTTCTCAACGTCTTGATGAAAACGAAGTGCAATGCAATGCTACAATGGGCAGATGTAAGAGTCATTCTGCACGATCCAAAGTACGGAATTTTAGTGGCGCTTTCAAATTTGTCAGAAACATTATGTGAATCTGGATTAGCAATTTGACTAAATATAATATATCTGTAACAATTGCGAGGGGCTTTGCCAAAGAAACACAGTTATGGCATTACTTTCCGTCTTTTCGCCTTCCTATCTCCAAAGTTGATTTTCTATCATAGAGAAAGTGACCAAATTCATGCGAGTATTCAGTACTGTCTTTTTATTTGAAGCTCTGAAACGAAGTCTTTTGAACTACAGTAACTCGGGGCTGCTTATGAAGCTATCGCATTGGAGACTCATCATTTAGAGGCATTGTTGGCACTCCACACAAGTTTTATTTATTCATAAACATTCATCAAATCGTTCAAAGATCCTGATGACTTGGTGAAAATAAGCCATTGTCTACCTTATATTTACAGTCGACTCACGTTAACCCACACGCTTCCTTCGCTTACTCCACTCGTATTTATGGTTGTTGTACATTGTTGCCCTCATCATGCACTACTTGGTGCAACTATAAATAAGTTCACTGTAACGAGTCTCAATAGATCCTGATGGGTGTTGAGAGGTTAAAGTGCAGTTAAAGGGGAAGTATTATATGGTCCCTTAAGCTTACGCGTCCCTGCTATCTGGGCAGCACTACTGCTTGATTAACACCCCATAAGTCAACCGGCATTACTTTGCCTTCTAGTGGCACCTCCTACAAAATCTTATTCTTTCTCCAGAAAAACTCATATTAACTCTCTTCTGTTGGAGGGGTTGCACTCTTTCGTTTTTTCAATTCGGTCATTGAACTTCCGTGTAAGTTGGAACTATTTTATGCACTACGACAGACTTTGACACTAGGACCCTATTGTCAACGCGTGCCTCATGCATTCTTGTTGAAGCGTGCTGCTTAATAAATCATTCGCACAGTTCGCCGTTTTTACACCCTATCCAGTAGAGGACATTTGAATTCGATCATTATCTCAGGTAGCTGGCAAAAGCTACTTAACATTCAACGATTTATGGGTGCACCACGTGTCAGCGTAGCAAAATCAATATTTGGAAGGTCATCCTTCTGAGCTTTCAAGTCTGTGTGCTTTTACTTAGGATTCGTCATGATTATTTCATTGGCAACACAACTACGTCTGTCACACAAAGATTTGCCTGTAAACAGGTCACCAGTTCAATAGAAGTGTTCGGAGATGCTATATTATGTGAATTAATCCTTCAAATTGGAATCGTTCCAATAGCAATCGATAACACATCCCAGGAATTAACTTTCAAAATACTTGACGGCCAGGTTACGTGTGCCACAATCACAGCTGAAATCCTTGCACTAACCGAACTATCATGAGTTTCAGTTACGGCCAGTTTACCTAAATGCTACTGGCCAATTGGCAACACTTTCTTTTGTAGCCACTCTGCCCAAAGAAGCACGTCAACATCTTTGCCGATTGGTCACACTATGAAGTATCGTTGTACAAATATTGGACCTCCATATGGCTCCTTTGGCACTGTTTCGCCTGAGCAAGCGATGACCCCCTAGTGTCAGAGTAATTACTTTCACAATAGATGAGTACTCAGTGCACATTTCGCTGAAGCCTAAACTAGTGCCATTACTCTTCATAACCTTAAACAGTGCGTAAAGTTCACACCTAGATAATCAGGTCAAAACCCAAACCTCTCTCTTTGCATGATAACTGTACGGATCACTTATCACCAGTTTCAAAGTGACTTTCCGAAAGCAATGAAAGCAGGAATGTGGGGTCGTGAACTCGAAAGAGGTATATTCCTTCAATATGCAGGCTTTATTGTCCTCGTGAATAAGCCCCATACTGGCTTATTGTTGACGTGTATCTTTTACGGGCCAGATCACTGTTTACTGATCTATGACTGCAGCAATATGGGCGATAAACTGATTACGATTAACACAATTATTGTTCTGGGAAAATGACCGATAATCGATTATTTCAGTCGATTGCGGTACATCTGCATGCCGGATGACATCCTTGACACATCTTCCAAGCAGCAAAATCAGTCCAGGCAGTACGGAAGAGGGTACTTAGTAGGTTTTTCGGCAATAAATGTTTATTTTGTCTTTGAGCGACAACAGGAAATTTACACCGCAAAAACTCGTGCACTTCCACGTGCTATCCTGATAGGAGGGCAATAGCTTGATAGGAAGGATACTGTAAATAATTTATGAAATCTTGCCTCACGCATACACACTCATGTCTTGCCGCACACTCACCCACATGCCCATTGATCATTTCCAGTTGGTTTGCTATTGTTTTACATCGCTAGCCCTGACGGGTGCCGTGCATGTTTTTCAAAACGTTACTACGCTCACTGTGGTTCTTTCTGTTAAGGCTACGAACCAGTTAGAATGGATACGATTCGTTAGCCGCTAGGCGAATTCAACGCAGCTAAATGATAGCATCTCTGTAGTACACTGGGCCCCAAAATGAACGCGTGAAAACCAAGTTCTTTTTTCGGTACTGGTATTTTTGAGTTGCGCTGTACTATATGAAATGATTCACTCGAGAATTCCGCATAGTTCGGATGATACAAACTTCAAACTGTATCAGAAAAAGCTCGTTTTCTTACCAGTCACCTGATATTTAGCTACCTGTGCAACGCTTTCCGATAATTCGCAATTGAGTGAATATGAGGGAGACAGAACCAACGTGACCACGAAACAAACCGTTCCCTTTTTCAGCGAATTCTCTCCAAATTGGAGAAATTCTACCTCGTTGACCAATTTAACCCGAATTGATTTCTCCACGGTCATTTTCTACCTTCATCCGCCTGGTTGTGTTTGTTTCACGTGGGCAAAGTTCGCATAAGTGAATGAAGCAAGAACATTTGCACGCATTTACTGAAAACGATTACCGCTCATATTGGCAGAGCTCAATATGGATCGGTCCACTTAGTTTCTGCTACGGTCTTTTCAGACCTATGTCCGTGATACGGAAAATGAACTGGTGGATTCGTACGAACACAGTTCAAAACTTCTCCCGTTCTGTCATCTTCGTACTGTGAATGTGATACTAATGTGATAAAATTGCTTGCTGTTTATGGCTCAGTCCCTGTTGCTCGGACAACTCGCCTTTTTTAGCTGCTCACAAAAAAGAAAAGAACACGGTTATTCAAACGTTATCCCCACCAGACGATGTGAAATCAAGGTCTACTCGGACTACCCTAGGTTTTTTCCATGACAGTGAAGCTCACATCTGGGTGGTACTCGATGTTATCCGGCATTGGGTTGGCAGGGTCCTGAAGAAAATCAGGTAAGAGTCGAATGTACTCTTCAATCATTTTCTGCTACTTAAAAAAGCTGTTGCATGCTCCGGATTTGATCCGTTTGGTTATTGTAGGATGACTGCGGGGATCCGGATTATCTATAGTAAATACAGCTTGCATGGGTTGGCTGAAGGTCAGGTGTTCTATGTTCTTTCTGACGGATTATTGTGCTACCTTTCATTTGCGCGGGAAATTTAAGCAAACTGGCTTACATTATCTCATCTAATTTGTTCTGAGCGCAAGGTTAATCTTTTCGGAAATTCGCAGTTTTTCCAGCGAGAATGAAGTTTGTATACTCATGTTTATTGGTCAAGTTCACTTACAAAAGTACTAGACTTCAAACCAACTGCACTTACGAAGCTGCTAATGGTTGGGACACCAGATTATGATTACCTCAGTTATATGTCCTACTGTGATGCTTTCGGGTCACAATGGGTACTAAGTACGGACGATGACAATCCGGCGGAGCTACGAGTTTATGTGCCTTGCCTGATAGTTGTTCTATCTCGAAGACGTTTATCTGGTCGTGGTATGTAGATGTCATTCGTTGAGCTTTCATTCTACGATGAACGTACTCAGATTCCTGCTAACAGAAAGAAGTGGACCATCACAGAATCAACAAACTTAGGGAACACAACGGTCAACTAATGCTGCATGTTCCATAACGTGATATTTATCTAGTTGCAAAACTGCACCTGGTCTTGCTAGTGTGACACCAAATAGTGTTGGTCAGTTGCGTAGCACCACTGTCTAATACTATTACCTGATTTGTACCTAAAGTCGGCATATGCACATGTATGTCCTGTTATGGTTTGCTTCTTCTTCACAGAGCACACATCCAATAGACATCATCTTAAAACCGGTTGCTGACCTGACGGAATATATTTATCACACAATAAGTTTGTAGAATGCGAATATGCCTCTCGTTTTTAGCAATTTTTAGAACCTCTCCTGGCGTAATCACTTTGATTAGTCCGCACCAAATGGAGGAAGCATTGGACTCGAGTTTCCCTCTAATTAAAGCTCATCATCGTCCTCGGCGGTGTCAGACTTCGAACTTTGCACATCTGACGTGCGAGGCGGACGTGTCTTACTACTGCTCCACCAGCACACGCTGGATGCATCTGAATTTCACGTCTAAACAGGTGAACATGTTTGAACCTGATGAGTATACATTCTACAAAATCCCACAATCACCAACACCTGGAACAATATGACTGTGTCCTTCAGAACATATCTTGTCAACTCGTTTTACTTCTGCATCCACCCACGATATGTCTACCAACTGAAGATACTAAGCATTTTATCTCATCTGGTACATGGAGGTTGAGCAACTTTGCAGGACTGCGTGAAATTTATTCAGTCGTGCTCTTCCTCTGGGAATCAAGAACGCATGTAGAATCTGCTACGCTTCAAATCGGGAATATCAGGTTACTTTATTTGCTTGAACTTCTTGTTTGTTGAAACACGTGACATCCTTGCGAAGCTCAGCACGAAGGAAGTGATTCTTTCAGAACTTTAGATTATTTGTGAAAGTACCTGGGTGCACCAGAAGCTAGTACTACGCCCACTTTGGTGAGGCCTCCATATCATAACATATATAACCAGTTTTGGTTGGTAATCCTGCATTTCCTTCTTTAGACGATTCCAGAATGCTCCAAGATAAGACTTTTTATCTGAACATGCCTCCGACATAGACTCCACAAATCTAACAAATAATTACAGGTCCGAAAATTTTTTTCTCTAATAAGTCACAAATTGGTTGTCTTCCGGCTTCCTTTATTACGATTTTACCGAACTCAGGTGATAGCAACTGGCTGTGTAAATCACATAACAGGTTGAGAAGCGTGAATTGGTGACGTTGGGCTAGCGTCCGTACGAGATCAGTTGGTACAACACTGATTTGGCGCGTGTGTATTATAAGAGCGTGTCTCGCTACTAGCGTATGCCCTGTCTTATGTTATACGTAATGGGTTCTTGATGGTCTTCAGTGGGTTCACTGAATGGATCCGATTACAAATACGGTTGAAAGCGGTGCATTTCAGTGTTTTAGGAAGATAGTGTTCTATTCTAACTTGATCGCACCCAAAGCACAAGACAAGCCGAAATCGTCGTTTTGTGAAAATAAACTCGACTTTTCAGATTTGCTATCCTTGACTGAGATTAAAGTACCAACTCAAATAGCGGGTGAATTGCTCAAGTTGTGAAGAGGAGAGAAAATAACCACTTGTAAGATGATTAATAGGAACCGATGAAATTTCATTTGTAGTCGCATTTTGTATGGTTCCTGCGTGGGTGTGACACGGTTTCTAGATAACCTGTAATTTTGTGTATCCGTGATTAATACAACACGGCCTACCCATATAATGTTTGCCAGAGCTCGCCTTCTTTCTGTGCATCTGAAGTCGGTAACAACCGACAGACGTGATGATCTACTGCGGAGAATTTTTCCCACATGACAAGGAAAATATAGAGTGGTTGTTACATCTCAAAATGTTTTAGTTCTGTTGGATGTTTCCTCTTATACGGCGGCATTTCAATCGTATATATCTAAGACTAGATTACCAGCTTAGTCAAGTTCAGCCAAATGAAACTGGCAGCAATGAAGGATCGGTATGTGAAAAACGTTCATAACAAATCGCTTAATGTTAAACGAACCTGGGTCAGGGATTTAGGGACAGAAAAATTCTGAGAGCGGGATCCTCTCCTCGAGAGGGGAAAACACAACATGCTCGTGAATTTGGGTCCTTGAAGAAAGTATTTTCCTGGGTTGATTATTTAGTTTTTAGGCTTCGATTGCCTTTTGAACTCAAATTTACCACACATTTCAGTGACGCTTTTCAAGAGTAAATTTTATTTCTCCGATTTCCAGAAAGAGTGAATTATACACATCTGGAGAAAATGGGATGGAAGGTGTTTTATTGTTTTGTTTATCTAAATATCTCATTGGACGTATTCTTTGGCAGTGCATCAATCAAGCCCTCCGGGCAAAATGGCGCGTTCTTCTGTTTGTGCTGTTGTCAGTGGAGGCCATTTCACAACCTAAGTAAGCGAATGAAGGCATTTTGTTTGTTCTGCTCTTGTTTGTGGTTTGCTCAAGTCAAAGAGAGAGTCATATTATTTAGTACAGCGACAAGTGTAGCTTTCATGTCTGCGACATTCTTCTAGTTGAACTGTAACAAAATGGGTCAATATTAAGCATGAGAAGCTGTCCCTATGATTAGAGTTTGGGATAAATCGATTGACGAATCAATGTGCCCATCAGTGGACACATGTTCCTATGCACTTGAGATTAATTAAAGCCACTGATCTCAGTCCCACTGGTATCCACGTGATTTTACGGATAAGGATATTTACTAGGCTTTGTAGTATTATGTGTCGACAGAGTGTCTCTAGGCATCAGTGCATAAAAGACAAGAGCGATACAGATCAGAAAACCGTTTAGTTATTTGTTAGACTGTAGAATGAGATACATACCAATACACGAAGCAGCAACGCCTGTTTCCTGACAGACAAGAGAGCAGAACATGGAAGTGTGGCCAAGGAAAGCAAACTCCCCATAACGCAGTGGAGTCCACTAATGTTATCTCGTCTGATAGAAGCCCTTGCAGAAACTGTCTCATACTAGGTTCGGGAAGGTTGCTAAGTTTGTACCAATTCTACCTGTAAAAAACCATCCAAGGCTGACGGAGTTTAAGCCTATCAATGTATACAGCCCAACTCCAAAATACTATCTTAGATCCCAATGTCAGCTGGCTTTCAATATAAATCCCATTTGTTTTTCCATTGTGGTGTTTGTCAAATTAACTACGTTCTTGTGTTTACCGTTCCACACGCGTTGGAAAATTTTGGGCAGTTACTCCATAACTGCGACAAAGGCCCATCATAGTAATCACTGTCGATTTGATATTTTGATTCACTAACCATACCTAGTGGACTGCAGTGGTTGTACGGGCAGTCCCAACAGCCAACGGGGACCCAACTGCGGTGACTCAAGTGAAGAGTCTGGCGGTCTATACTTTCGCGGAAAATCGAACTGTTGGGTTTTCAGGAAGATTAGCTTATTTGGTTGTTCAGAAAATATACACTGGTTGTGAGCATTTGACGCCGCAACTAGGGAATGCAACATCGTCAAATATATGAAAACTGCATGCGGTTTAACAAATTACGCTCCTTGCTTGGAGTACCACTTCTCACATTTGTCGGACACGATAAAGCAATAGTGCTCCGTTCATGATTTCGGTTTAGTTGTTGAGTAGTTAGACTCATGCATATTGTCTGAGCTGCTGATCAGCTAGGTTACCAGTCATAATAAACGTGATGTTGTTCGCGGGGAAGAAGTGTGTAGGGATAACACTCCCTCCATGTCAGACGACCAAGGTCCAAATCTCGGTAGAGCGAAGGATGACCTTATTCGAGCAAAGTTTGGGTCCAGCGCCTCTATCTTTTGGTATGTACGAGATTAATTATCCGATTGTATGAAGTCCGGATATCTCCCATTCAAGGTGTTGTCCTGTAAATGAATTTAATCCATGCCTAAAAGCTGAAAAACCTTCTTAACTTATTTGAACAGTCATTTGAACAGTCAGTCAACAAATGACCACGTGATATGAATTTCGTTGTTGAAAATGAGTGGCTCTTTATCCGGTTCAAGTGCAGTTTGATCACACTGTTGATCAGCCGCTCGACACTTAGCGGTTTTAATCTCTAAGAGCAACGACTACACGGGGACTGGAAAAGTACTGTTCAAACACAACTAGGATACCCACCTCATCAGTCAGACATAAGGTTAGATATGTCTTCTTGTTGGGTAATCTGTTTATCACTGCGCCAAATGAAGAGTTTTATAACGGACGGAATAATCACTTCACTCGCCTCGTGCATTCAGCTTCCCGCCCTAGAGTTTAAACTCATTTCATCACCTCTTAGCCGGTTTCACCCCATCTGTCTTATTTATGGCAGATTTTTCACTAATCTCCGGTCTTCTGTTAGCATCTTTACAACTGATTCTGTTTAGTTAGTTGGCTCAGGGTCTACACATGTTTCGCCCGTTTTTCCTCTGACTGACCTCACTAAACTCTTGCATAAAAGGGTTATTATTTATTAATTATGTGGCCCAGATGCAGCCCGCTTCAATCCTTCCGTCTGCGTAATGCCGTTTAGAACTTACCATACATTCAGACCCCACCACTGGGGCAGGCATAATGAGGAAATTCAGCCTATCAGCAGCAACTGGCTTATTCAAACAACGTATACTTATCAAGCAGGCCATGGGGTGAATGTTTTGCCACAGCCAACTCCCTCCCCTTCAGGTCGAATCATGGACGATGATTACGACACGACCGACCTCTGAGCTACTTGTAACTATCCATCTATCAGATTCTCCATGTCATTCACTTTCTCCTATCATTGCCTAATCACCTGTTACTGTCATCCACTTTTTCGTCCCGTCAAATTGCCCGACGTTATTCCTTTGCCGACTGGGATGTGTCGGTTCTTCGCTTCGTATATACTGGAAGCTGCCACTTCGAATGATGCTCAAGCTTCGGTTGGTAATATTCCTAACTTTCTCCATGGTTTCGTGCGGAAACTGATACCTTAGCTCTCAAAACAGGCCTCGATGGGATCAATGCCACGTACTTTAATGATAAGATAGGTCATTTATCTGCTGCATTGACTGAGAGATCAGTCTGGAACCCTGAATATCTCATCAGTGGTTATTTCTGCTCTCCCACCTTTCATTCTATTCAAATTCCAAACAAATTAACCTACAGACACACTCACAAGCATAAGAATTTTCTTAGCTTTTTACTTCCAAGAAAGCCGTGTCTCTCACTATATCAGATCCAGTTTATCAGTCAACTCCTAATCTTCCCCTGGCTGCGAGTATCTTACGGAACGTTTGTCAGACGTTTCTTTTCCATGACGCACCAAAGGTTCGGAAAGTACCTGCCTATTTTGATCCAAAACCGGTCCTCAAACTCTTCCTCAGCGTCACTGAATTTTTTATCTGCTTCTATTCACAGATTTTGTACAATAAACCCGGAAAACGTTGGAAATACGATCTACCCCCAAGCAAGTTTTTTTAGACACAATAACATCTACTAACTTAGTTCAGTCACCTAATTTTGATCTAAGCCTCAAACTTTACGTTGACCACAAAATATCTTAAATAATCACGAGTGCAGTGAACGCCATTGCAACCAGTGCAAACAACGGCCCTATTCCTCAGAGGATCATATGTTGGGTTATTTTGCAACTATTTGGCCATCCATCCCATACTGGATGTTTGGATCTACCAGGTGTACAGAGGCCTAGTCCCCCTTGCGAAAATCGGCCAGGACAGTTCAAAGATGTCCTATATGATCAACTATGGCAAATTCAAGAATGGTAGCTTACCTCTCAGGGAGTATCACAAACCAGGACAATAGTCGACTCATGTATATATTCATCCAGGTAATAAAATTTTCCGGTCTCCGTTGCCTGAATGAAGCATGATAATTAATAAGCAATGTGGTTAGCACTACATTGATGAATCCGGTACAACTCGCTTCATTTGACTGATAAATTACAACATTGGAACCATTTTGTGTGAGCTGTACGTGATGCTCGGTTTCCGCGAGTTAATCCGCCACTTTCAAATTTCCGCTTACTTCGGCTTTGGCCCTGTAAACTCGTGGGCGCTGGTTGCGGGCACTACTGATATCTCCACTATTAGTGATGAAATCATTGAAACCAGTACACCATACTTGGTGAATAAATCAGCGGCCACTTTGCTCACAGTCACTTAATGCAACCGGGCTACCAGTGTTTCGATGTGTCGTCGGGAATTCAGCTTGAAACGCAACAGTGACGGCTCCAAATATTTTAGCTACTAACAAAATTTAAGTAGGCATAAATTACTGCTGGTTAGGTGCCAGTAACCAACTCAATGCGACCTCTTCTGGTGAGGGACCAAAAAAGGCTACATTAAAATCAAGCTTATCAGTAAAATCCTCAAAACCAGTTCCAGAAAAACTGTGGTCGATGTATAACAGCTGAAGCTGTTACCGGAAATATTCTGTTAGATAAGCAAATCGTCGATTAAATATCGAGTAGGCAAGGACACATGCTGCAAATGTTTCCACAGGTTCAATGAAGTCTGCCAAATTATGATTTCTCAGCCTTTGCAGCAATATTAAGCTAACGTTTGTTGATAGAAGAGCCGTCTGTTTTTCAAGACCGGAGTAATAGATTTTTCTTGAGGCTTCAGAAGTACAGTATCTAAAGAAGCAATCATTTGAACAACTTGACAATAGGCAAGAACCCTAACGACAGCTATTCGTTTCCAAAGAGCTTGGTAGTTTTTATTTGGGAAGCGTTTCGCTTTCGACATAAAAGCTTCATCAGGTAAAGTGAACAGGCGCCAAATTGGCCAGATTATAAGACTGACAAGGAACCAATCAATACGTCCTCTTCAGACCATCACAATAGATCAATGTTGAGTATCAATTAACAACTCTTATCGGTTAGTGTGGTTGTCAAAATCTTGCGTTGGTGGATTGGGGGAGTTTCAGATTAATTTCACTCGGGTGCTTCAGTTGATGCATCACTTCGGATGCCACTGGTAGATTTTCCTTGGCCTTTGTGGGGTTGTGAGTGCTGCGACAATTTAACTGTGGGGGGAGAAGTTAAGTTCAAGTGGAATTCATATGATGAATACTCCTCCTTCTGATGACCGCACGCCAATATGTGCCAGCTCCAAAATCGTACTCCACACATTTGCCGGTTCCACGCCTTCTATCCTGTTAACACTGAGGTGCTTGGCGATTTCTCCCGCCTCGCCCATCGGTCTTTGTGACGTGGACCGCAGTCCTCGCCTCAAAACCTCAACATTTTCTGAATCTATCTTGTGTCATGTGTCCAGTGAATGGTCTGAAATTGCCGATTCTTTCGGTAACGATTGATATTCATCCGCGTTTCTCGACGGCCTGTTTATTTTTCTACTATGCTGTCCGATTTTGGTGTGAAGTTCTCTGGCATCTGCCCTATATAGACCTTAATGCATTCGTTACACTTACACGATTATAGACTGATGGGGCAATACTAGCGAATACCGATTTCGGATGGGCAGACGAGTGTTTCGAAACTGTCACTGTCAGTTGGCTTCTCGTATACTGTGGCCTTTAGTCCCTATCAGGAAGGTCAGCTTCCTGAAATCAGCCACTGAATGCCTGAAATCTACGGAGACTCCCGGCTCCGCTAGGTGTTGACCAGACAGACAACGCCCCCTCAACATGCAGCACGTCACAGCCTTGTATCAAACCCAGACAGCGCGAGTCAGCGTTGCTCAAGGTCAGACAACGCCCCGCAATATGCAGCACGTCGTTGCCTCGTACCAAAGCCTGACCGCGTGCGTCAGCATTGGACTAAGTTCAGACAGTGTCCTTCCAATAAAAAGCTTGAGGCCGTTGTACTTTTCGCACTTGCAAGCACTCACACTCTCGCACTCGCTTTGTTGGAATATAGCTGTTGTGTTCCCTTCCGTGAGTCTTTTCTCTGCGACACTAGGCACTGGAGCGGGTCAGCAGCAGATACCTCAGATTGGCTAACCAGCAGATATAACAGTCCCCTCCCGACCTTATGTCGTGCGGTCCGAAAATGCCTGTGTAATCGAAGTCGACTCTGTCTCCATACTAAATTTGATCTGTGGATTCATCCTATTCAGATAGTTGCAAAAATCACTAACCTTGTCTTGTTTCATCACGACGAAATTGTCATCTGCGTAACGTCATAATATCTTTGATGGGTATGTTAATCCGGCTGAAGCTCTCTGTTCAAATTCTTCCATGAATATATTTGCCGAAACCGGGGATATTGGAGATCCCATTGCTAGACCTTGTTCTTGAGTGTAAACCATGGAGTCGAAAACGAAGTGCGTGAGATTCAGGCATGTTTTTTTGCCTTCCACTATTTCATCCACCATGAGCTGTGTCCGTTCTGAAAGGGTGGAGTCTACTAGTAGTAGTCGCTTAGCTATTTCTAAAGAGCCCCCTTTTGGCACATTTATATATAACGAATTCAGATCGAAACTTACTGGGATGTCATCTGGTTCAACAGCGACCCCCGGTACTTTGTTGGCAAAGTCATACGGATTCTTAATGTAAGTACTGGATTTCCTGGTGAGGGGTTCTAAAATACCGGCCAAGAATCTGGCCAGCTCATGCGGTGGGGACATCTGGTTTATAGATTTTTGGAAGACTATAAAGCCGTGGTTGGATTGGACTTTT